AAGCTGTGCCATTTAAATAATTATCATGCACAAAGGCAGCATATTTAACACTTAATAATTGTGTGGGGAATTTGGCTTCAAAATCTGTTTAAAGTAGAAAAGATCTCTTCATCTATTAAAGTACTTTTCAGACTAAAAAGAGAAACTGAGGTAATCTCCCCCAAAACAACCTAACGCCAAAGGTACACCGCTCAGCAAGATCTGCTGTTGTAAGACGAGAGGGGCTGTTCTATTTGGATAAAAATGTGTTGTATACAAATGGTTAGGAAGGACCTCCTGATGCTGAGGAACCATCAGACAAGACCTCAACGCCCATGCAGAAATCAGCTACCCGGTGTGGCTGAGGTGGAATGGGGGAGCAGGAGGTGGTCAGAGCCGCTGGATCTGGACATGTAGGGTGACAGGGGTGGGAGACAGGGCCAGGGAGGTGACAGAGAACGTCGCACTAGCCGTGGTGAGTGGAGGGACCATACAACTTTATGTCCAAGCCAGGATGCCCTCAAGAACGGAGGGGTGCGCCGTCCCTGCCATCACACGAGCTGGTCTTGTGCCAGTAGCCCAGGGTCCAATTAACTAACTGTATGGACAGAGGCTTCCTCCTGAGCCAGCGAGTTGGTGAGCTAGGTACCAGGAGGGCAGCCCAGGAGCGGCAGAGACCAGGTCATCCAGGGACAGTGATGGTCGCAGGGTCCCCACCCTGCATGCCATGCTGAGCTGACACTGGATGTAGGTGGGGAGGTGGAACAGGGGGGGCCTGCAGATGGAAGTAACACTGGTGTGACAGAAATAGCTAGACATGGACGATGCCAGGTTCTGGTGTCCGGAGTGGCCGGGACAGGGAGTTTCCATTTCCTGAAGTGGGAAAGGTGCAAGAGGAGGTAAGAGATAAGAGTTGAGACTGGGACTTCAAGGAGCTTGAGACGCCTGCCCTGCCTGCCCCACCCTCCGGGGATTTAACCCAGGGCCCTTGCACTTTGATGTGTCCTCCGCCCTTTTAATTTTTTATTTAGAGACAGAATCTCACTAAGTCCCTAAGTGAACCAGCTGAATTTAAACTCAAAACCCTCCTGCCTCCACCTCCCTAAGTGCTGGGATTACAGGCACGCACCACCACACTCCGCTGAAATACTTTTGCTTTGCTCCCAGAGGTCAGGCCGGTAGTGACACGAGCCTGCAGTTCCAGGAAGTGGTGAGGCCAAGAGAGCTCAGTAGAGCTGAAGCTCATCAGTGGTGTGTAAAGCCATGAACCAGACAAGGCCAACCCGATGAAAGTGTAGATGAGAAGGGGGAGACCCCAACACCTGGCTCTGCGCCTCTGCGTTACAGGTGGGGAGACGAGGAAAGTGAGCGGGAGGACCAGTGCGTGCAGAGGAGGCCTGAACGGGAGGCCAGCAGCCCGCATTGCCAGGAAGGTGCATGGAGACTCAGGCCTCGTGCAGATCCCATTGTGGGAGCTCCCTGGACAGAAGCAGCTGCAGGAAGAGGACAGAGAAGGCATGGACAGAAAAGCAGGGGGCATCCAGCGTGCAGAGCCAGGGACCCTGAAGGGACAGCCATCCTCAGAGGCCACGCCCCGGGGCAGGGCCCTGGTTCAGCTGTATGCTGGCCCTGGGCGGCTGTAACTTGGTCCTGCAGCCCAGGGTGAGAAGAGGAGCAAGTCCTTCTCCCATTCTGGTCACTGGAGACCCAGGTCGGTGCCTTCTGAGGGGTGCCCTCCTTGGCTGGGAGGTGGCCATCTCTCTGCTGCACCTGCCCATCCCATGTCCAAAACCCCACTCCTTACCGGGACCCCAGTTGTCCTGGATCTAGGCCACCACTGTATGCCCTCATCTTAACGGAGTTCATCTGCAGTGGCCCTCTTTCCAAACAAGGTGGCAGCTCAGGACCCTGACACACGAACTTGAGGCCAAGGGTTCAGTGGTCCCCATGGGACAGTGGAAGGGGTTGGAAGCTCAGGAAAAGAGGTCCCCAACAGAGTGAGGCTTGTGAAGTAGAGGGCAGGATACCCCGAGCCTCAGGCAGAGGGCAGGAGGGAAGAAGTCTCAGGAAGCTGGCAGTCCCCTCCCAGCTTGGGGACATGATCTGGCAGAGGCAGCTGAGCCCTGAGCTGTGGCTGTGTTTCCCAGGGCTTAGCACTGGTCCACTTGCACCGTGGCCACTGCTGTTGTGCAGATAGCCCGATGCCCATGCAGCAAGCCTGGGCACAGCACGGGTTGTCCAGGCACTCAGCCCTTGGGTGGTGACCCTGTGCGTCCAGGTGACCCTGCCTGGTGACCGGGGCTGCGGGAAGATGGGGGCAGGAGTGAGCGAGCACCCACCAGGGACACGGTGGCTTGGAGGGAGTGGGTTCCACAGAAAGCAGACGCTTTGGTTTCCACTTTTCATCAAAAGCACTATCTCCCTGACTCCCTGTAATTTGGGATCCTGGGCTTCTCCTGGGGAAGCCCCAGGTGGGCATCACCTTTAGAAAAGGCTGTCACGCACCAGCTGTCTGTGCTGGGAGCAGAGGAACATTTCTGATTCCCTTGTCTGGGTCCCTGATAATCACCTCTCTCCTGGGGCTCCTCCACGTCCTGTCCTGCACAAAGCTGAGCCTCATGCCTGGCCCCTCTGTGTCAGGCCCCCGCTGTATAGGGAGGGACTCGGGAGCAGCAGGCTGCCACCACCCCTTGAAGATAGTCCAACAGCCCCCACCACTGGGAGTCAGAAACCCAGGCTGGAAGTTGGCCTGCTTTCTCTCAGCATGCTCTGAGGGACCAGGTCACAGGAAAGGAAGGGCTCTGGGGGACAGAGATCCCCAGACACCACAAACCAGGGACAGATGAGCTATGTGAGCACAAGAAAGAGACAGTGCACACGAGTGTGTTCCCACAGGTGTGTGTGTGTGTGTGTGTGTGTGTGTGTGTGTGTGTGTGTGTGTATGAGACAGAGCTGCCTGGGTGGGTTGTCATTTTTTAGATGCAAATTTTTAGACGTGTTTCCTACAACAGTTTTGTAATTCTTCAAAGTAATTCAGTTTCAACTTAAATAAACTAGCACAGCAAAGAACAACCAAATATGTTCATTTTTCTATTTAAAAATACATTTCAGATCATGCTGCCAAAATGACAGTGGAAATGTAGTAGCATTAAATCTTGGATTGACAATGCCTGTGTCCCATAATTGAGGGAAAGGGGGATTACCAGCCAATTTAGTTCTAAATGGCACATGTAAATATTGAGTTTCTTTAAAAAAAAAATGTATATATATATATATTGTTTCGAGTCCTGGAAAACACTCAAGCTTGAAAATATGAGTGAAGTTGTGCTGCACAGTTGCTTGTAAAGTGCAGGGAGAGGTGCGAGGGGTGAGAAGAGATACCGTCATGCTGAGTGTGAATTTGGAGGTCTTTGAGATCCCAGCCTGGCTCAGATCTGAGACAGCATAGTCACATGGCACCCAGGCTGGAAATGCGACCTGGGCCTCGCCTTCCACCACTCAGTGAGGGTCGGAGGTGCCATCAACAGGGACGAAAGCGACTTTCCATGGATGAAACGCACCGGCACCAGGGAGACCTCTGCCATGCTGGGACCGTTGCTTTCCAGACTGAGCCGCGACGTTGCAAGTCACACCTGGCCAAGAGCTCTGTGCAACAGAGAAGGGGAAGTCACCGCTACGGCTTCAGACTCCATACTATGGCCAGGCTGTTGGGGCCACGGCAGTGTCGGATCAACACCCTCTGCATGGTCATCTACTCAGACACCCCTTCCTCTTCTACTCGCGCCTCTGTGTGAGGCTGGCTTTTTTTCCCTGCACTTCAATTCAAACAACAGTTTGCATAGACCAGAATCCAGAAAGTGGAGATAAGCAACCTGCCAGGCACCGATAGACTTGGGGGAAAAAATGAAAAACAGTTATACCCTTTGGAAAGTAAATATATTATTTGTAACAATGTTATTTGTGCCACCAAGTAGTGCATTTATTTAAATGAATTAAACATATATTTTCAGCATTTCTAGCCAGGTATAGCGACACATGCTTGTAGTCACAGCATTCTGGGAGGCTGAGTCAGGAGGAGGGCACATTTGAGGCTAGCCTGGGTTACCTGATGCATTGAAGGCCAACCTGGAACGTAAGGAGGGACCCTGCCTCAAGCAACAAAAACAGAAAGAGAGAGAGAAGAAGAAGGGGGAGAAGGAAGGAAGGAAAATTTAAGTTTTAATATCTAAAAAATATCAAAATATCAATAGCTGTAACTCACATAAACAAAAGCTTTTTGGGATCCTCAGAAAATATCGCATGTAAAAGGCTCTTTAGGACCAAATTTGAGACCCGTTGTTGTAAAGTTGGACTAAACATGGTGGTCCCTTCCAAACCACAGGTTCTGTACAGTGATGAATTCATGGAACGAGTCGGGTAATCTTTTTTCCCTGTATGTACAGCAAATATACCATCATCTAAAGTCAATTTGGCTTAGATATATTAACCACATGCCCCTTCTGAGATTCCCAACATTAAATCTCAGCGCCTGCTTTTTAAATGTAGAAATTATGTGGTTACAGAAAAAAATTGCTGTTCAGATACACAGGGCCTCAGATTTCCTGAACCCTAAAGCCCATACGCGTACTTCAGACGCTCACTAAACAAATGAGCCATTTGCACCACTCTGTCCTTCTGTTTAGTTTCAAAACCCTGTGTTTGTCCTAAATTTTAAACAGGAAGAAATGATTTGTGCTTCTGTCTTCATTCTTAACTCAAGCACACAGCATCTCAATATTTTTAGAAAGGAAGGGAGGAAGCAAGCATAATCTGTCTTGGAGATGCTGGTCTCAGACTAATAAGCCCCAGGGGAGGAGAGCTGCCCCCCACCGTCCCAGGGCCTCGGCTCCTCCAGGACACCAGGTTCAGCCCTGATCCCCGGGAAGCCCATGCTTACTAATGTCACTCACTTCGATGAGCATAAGCAAGCCAGTTAATGGGGATCTAATTTCTGTTTTAATTTGCCTTCTTTCCCCCGGCAGGAATTTGACTGGCACGTTTCCCAACTACCCCGATGCAGAAGATGGAGGGTCGGCTGTTATTTTTTCCAACAAGACCCCAGAACAGGTACAGATATGCTTGAGAAATAGGATGGAAATATATCATAATCACATTTCCTCCGGCTTCAAGCATGGTGGGTGCGAAGTGTCACTGGGGTTTGATTATTTCCTACAGGTCCTTGCATGGATGTGCTGGGGGGCATATGTCCATGTATTTCCTTCCAGATCTATTTCAAAGTAAATTCAACCTGTTCCATTCTGATCATTGAAAGACATGGAGCTCGTTTTCTTGGTGAATTCTGAGCAGCTCGTTTTCAGGCGTCCCCAGGGTTTGAGCCCCTGCCTACCTTGCAGTCCCATCTCCTCTCCCTTCCTCCCTCCTCATCACTGGCCATGAGCCCCAGCGCCCACCCGGTGGTCCCCCTACACTTCAGGACCCTTCCATGACTTTGCATGTTGTCGGCTCTCAGGGCCCCATGTGTCCCCACTGGAGCTGTGAGGGAGTATTTCTTTGGAAATTCTAACCGACACAACAATTTTTTTTTCAGTTTATTTGTACAGTTTAGGTATACAGTACAGTTACATTCATTATTGGGATCTTGTACCTTTACATGACAGGTCTTGGTTCTCATTTTTTCCCCTTGTCCCTCAAATTTTTAAAGAAGAATTATAAATGTTTTAGAAGCAATCATTTTATCAGTTTTCCGATTATGAGTTGTCTTCCTAGAAAACACGATAAACTTCACATGAAATTATATTGACAAATTAAACAGAGCTGTACAGAATTATACTGATGACCTTCCTGAAGAAAATGAAAGCCTTTTGAACAAATAGGTCAATGTATCATTTCCCTGGAAAGGAAGGACTCACTGGAATACAAGCATGCATTATCTCTCCATTATTCTGTGCAGCTGATAGAGTTTCAATTAAAGCCAAAGTAAGTTTTGTACTGACAAATTTATTGTAGAGTTTATCTGGAAGAATTCATGAAAATATCTAAAGAGGAAGTATGCTAAAGGGGATCTTCTGTTATAAATAGACTTGAACTTATACTTGTAAGTTGCCCTTAAGTAAGAGGCCAAAACCTTTTTCCGTGAAGGGTCACATAGTAGATATTCTAGGGTCTGGGACACATACACGGTGCAATCATAGACACATTGTCCTTAACCCCCCTTGCAATCCTCCCTCCCTTCAGGCACACTTATCCCCTCCTTCTTGCCACTTTCTGAAGCCACTCTGGAAGTGCTCTTTCATCTGTGTCTTCAGTTATGCTCTTGTGTCTGCCTCAGTGTCCTGAACTGATTCAAAACATTGACCTTTCATGGTCATTTTGGCTTTGGGGGAAGAGCTAGGAGTCACAAGTTGACAGATCTGGTAAGTGAGGTGGATGAGGAGCCCACCTCTCTGTTTTTTTACCGAGCCTGCCTCTCTGTGGGCTGGCACTTGGCAGCAGCGATCACCGGATTTTTTTATCACATCTCGTGATATGATACTCCAGAGCAGCTCCACGAAGTGGCTTTTGAATGATGGGATGAGTGTGTTCAAAGTTGGGAGTGGTATCGTCCGGGGGGGTTAATGGCAGTGTTATAATAATGTTTTAAGTTTAAACATTCACCTTTTAAAAAACACACACACCTCAGTATTCGCTGCCGCAGCTACTCAGCTCAGCCTTTACAGCCTAAAAGCAGCCAAAGACAGGATGTGGAACCTTATGCAGTTCTGCTTCGATGAAAGGGTGGCAGACCAGGTCTGACCCATGCTGTAGCTCGCCGCCCGTGCCACAGTCGTTGTAGAAGCTGTTCCTGTCTGCCTTGCTCGTAGCATCGGCAAAGAAAAAGCCTCGTGTTCTTCAGTAGGAAAATTAGTGACACAAGCACCCAAGCTGCAGGTCTGGCATCACCCACCCTGCACAGCCTCTCCCAGTCCCTGTGTCCCAGAGCCACCCCTCAGCCTCCAGACATTCCTGCCATCTGCCTTCTCCCAGAGCTCTAGTCTAGAAGGAGCAATCAAAAAGCCGGGGAAGGCAGCTGAGCGTCATCCAACCGCTACAACACAAGACACCGTGCCCTCGTGCACCTCTTCATCTGGGATCTGACGCCATGCGGCTTCTGGCTCTTCCCAAAGTCAGAATGACCATGAAAAGGTCACCCTTTGGAATCCATTCAGGGCATTGAGGCAGCTGTGACTGCAAACCTGAAGACACGACAGGACTCCAGAGCTGCTTCAGAAAGCAGGAAGAATGAGAGAGGATGAGGGGATTCGTGGCAATGTGTCTTCTAGTGTAATAATTTTTAAATTTAAATATTCACTGTATTTTCAATCACCTCTCATAGCAACCCTATTATCTGGTGGTTCCGCAGGCCCTGCCCTGGGGGCCTGCTGTTTGAGCCTGCTGTTATTTCGCTGTGGTATGTGTTTGGGACTTGCCCCTGCAGCTACATCTCCAGTCACAAGCCGCGTCTTGCCAGTCTGGGGAAAGCAGCCAAATATGCTTCATGTTGGCTTAGAAAGGTAGTGATTATAGGATTAAGACTGTTAGTGGAATGTCTAAATTGTCCATGAGAAACCTTAAAAAAGTAAAGTTACTTTCCAGTCACACTAGAAAGAAAACTGCCGTCATCTGGTTAATATATCTAGCAAGACAGCCTAGGGGACCACAGAGTAACTTAACTTTAAAAGGCAGATGACTGAAGAGAGAAAGGCGGGGATCACAAATCACGTCCCACCACGTGCTAGGTCTGCAGCCCCGACAGCAACTTCCGCTCTGCCCCGCTCTCTGTCAGGCAGAGAACAGGGGCACCTCCCTCCCCAAGGGACACCATCCTTGGGGACAGCAGCGTGCTGCACCCCTCACGAAGCCTCAGGAGATGCTGCTTGTGTTAGAAGGAGCAGTGGGCCTAGCTGACCTGGGTAGCACAGTCTATGACCACATGTGTCCGCAGTTTAATTCATGTGGTTATAACACAGGAAGAACACAAACACTTTCTTTCTTTTTTTATGGCAATAAACAAATGCTTTCTAATGGAAGCAACATCACATGGGCACCAAACCCAGAAGACGGAATGTAAACACATAAAACCATGCATCTCCTTTACAAGGGTTTAGGCAAAAATTTTACCCAATTTCCTGTTTTAAGAAAATGCAGCTTGTTCATTTAACTTTCAGTGATCAAGAATTATTACGTTTTATAAGTGGAGAGACCACTAATAAAAACTGTCATGCCTGTTGCTTCAAAGACTATCAATATGTTACGGTGATGAGAAAATAAGGTGTTCTAGAGTAAACTTTGGGAGTATGTTGAGGACTAATTGGCCAGCTATTGCAGAGTAAACAGGAAGCGGCACGCCAACACCCGCAGCACTGTGAAATGCCACAGTCAGGCAGTGATCCTTCTGAAATCCGAGAACACTGGAGTTCGGATCTGTGTGTTTAGATGTGCATCACAGGCGATGAAAATGCAAAGACCAAAATTTATCACCATGGATGTTAAAGCAGCATTTTACCAACTCAGGATCCATTCTGATATTAAAAATAAGATTGAATAAAATTGAAATACACAGATGCTTCGTAGCGTAACAAAATTATTTTTCTCTTAGTTCAAAACCCAATGTCATGCTTAATTAAATTCACTAGAAACATTTCCACTAATGGCAGAAAAAATACACAAAAGGCCACTGTCACCACTATTATTAACCATCATCCCACACAAAACATTGAGGACTGTTAGAAGGAACCCACAGAAAGTGGATGGAGGAGGCAAATGATCCCTTTTTGCGGGTATATTCTGTACATAGAGAGGCAGAGAGAATAAACTGAAGAACTAAAACATGTGAGAATATGGAGAAGTATAAAATTACTATCTAGACTGCTGAGAGTTTTGTATACACAAATAACAGCTGGATAGAAACACAGTAAAAAATCCAATTAAAACAACAACACAAACACACAACACCCAGAAGTAAACCCTCATAACTTTGTATTCTGTGTGCAGAAAAGTTGTAAAACTCTGAGGGATACAGGGAAAGAAATTCAAGAGCAAACGTGTTCTTGGGTTAGAAAACTCAAGATCACAGCATCATCTATAAATTTAACAGGAGCCAAATAAAAATACCAGCAACCTTATGTTGGAGCCCTGTGGGAGGAAAAACAGGACTAGTTGTCATCCTAAACTTTGGGTAGAAAGTTTTGGGTAGGAAATACCCAGCCCAGCTAGGTATGAAAACATGATATATTAAAAGCCTGTTGATGCAGGAAAATGGCTAAAAAGATGCATCAGTGAAAAAGAATAGCAAATCAAGAAATATACTCAAATACATATGGGCACTGTAAATATATTACATGTGTGAGAATAAAAGGAAATAAATGGTATTAAAATAGCCCAGCTGTCACTTGAAAAAGAAAATTAAATTCCTGTCTCCTTATACTTCACTCCAGAATGACCCCACCTAGACCACAAGTTTAAATTTAATACAAAATCAAAACCCCAAAAGACTAGAAGATGCCAAGAAGGAATACATCGTGGCCTCAGAATGAGAAAGAGGTTCTTAACTGCAGTGCAAACCCAGGAATCATAGGATTAAACAGTGGATAAATGCGACTACATAAATGTTCTTTAACCTGCAAGGAAAAAAATGTCCCCAAGTAAGGTGATGCATGGCTCATTGGAAGCATTGCTTGCAACGAATATCACAAGAGATCACTTTCTTGATACACAGAGAACTCCTATCGATGCACAAGAGAAAGATCAATACCTGATACAGAAGACAGCATAAGGGCATCAACAGACTCTTCCCAGAAATGAAGATCCAAATGTATTTGAAACATAATGGAAGAGATTCAACATGTTAAAAGATGACCAGCCGCATATTTGTAAAAGACACACACGTTAAAATCACACGATAGACAAAGTTGACAAACTGAATGTTACCAAAGTTCAAAACTTTGCTCTTCAAAGGGTAGCATTCAGAGCATGAAAAAGAGAAGCGGCGGTCCAGGAGAAGACAGATATATGCAAAATATATATTTGTTAATGAACTTGAACTTGGAATGTGCAAAGTTTGCCCACAC